GGAAGGTTTCAATTAGAACTGCCTGTGGTGGTCCGCCAGTGGCTAGCAGAGCTGGCAGAAGATTCTGACAGTGAGGAGGTTTGGGGAGGAATATGAGCCAGTCCTGGAGTCTGGGGAAGGCTCTGATGAGGGCTCTGTGTTGGAGGCAGAGATGGGCCCAGGGCTGTCTGACAGTTATCAGCTGCCTTCGGAGTCAGACATCAGTGAGGCAGATGAACAGCTGGAGCTTGTTCCCAGTGTGCACATGTGCAGAGTTGCCAGATGATGGAACAGCTAAAGAACGGGGGTCATTTTGGGAGTAAAGCCACAGGTGGATGGTGAATGGCCCTTCCCAGAGGAAATAGGAGCGAAAGGGGAGTGGAGTTTGCAGGAGACAATTAGTTTGCTTCATTGGTTTGTGACTCTCCGAGACTCCTGGCCAAGTTTTGCAGCTATTGGCCTGGCAGCTCTCCAAGCCAGATAAGGTCTGTGACTGTAAATCCCCCCTTGAAAGACTTTTCTGGATGTGAATGAGAATTCACAGTCAATTAATAAAAAGGTTTTTTGTCAGGACAAAGAGTTTGCTTCATGTTCTTGGGAAGCCTCAGTCCTAACACTGCCATTGTAAGTCGGACAGGTAATATCGCATCTTAGCACTGCATCGCTTAATGACTGAGCTATGGTCCTAAGTGAGACCATAAGTGAGAGCTACCTGTCTTGCTGCAAACCTAATGCCTCCCCCATTATTTTCTTCGTAATTATGATAATCCTAGGCATTTACAACTCAAGAATCCGGGAACCTCTGGAAACTAATGCAGTCGGCAACGGTGATACCTGAGGAGGCATTTGAATTTTCTAGTTTGATTTTGATTTCTTTGACTAGCTATAACACCAGCACCAAGGAGCTTTAAAATTTTAAAAATTTTAATATTTAAAATTTAAAAGCTTTAAAATTTTAAATAAAAGCTTTAAAAGCATTGATTTCCAGAATGCTAATTGTATCCTGTGAGTTATTTCCTTCCAACAGATTTTGTTATGCCTGCCATATGTTATTCTTGGAAATCTGTTATCCAGAGCAGCATTTCCTATTTAGCTCAGACTCTTAAGTGCAGATAGCTATATATAAGTTAGTGTCACATATCAAACCGTGATTTAGTAATCCCCCGTTTGCTGGATCCTATATAACATCCTGGCTTAAGCCAGCAAACTTTGTTGAGCATGTTGTGTGAATTTGTGTTTATAGCCTAACTTTCCATTTTCTTAATGTGTGGGGCCCTCAAATTAGGTACTGTGTAGGAAAAATAGGCCCCGCTTTGTCCAGAGATCTGTCTCTGTAGTCTTCTAGTTTTTGTGTCTTAAGAGCTTGTTCCACAAAAGCTAGAAACTTGTTATGTTGAAGATACACCTGATCATCAGAGCATGTGATATGATAGGTGAACCTATGACACATGTGCCGGAAGTGGCATGCGGAGCAATCTTTCCGGGCACATGAGCCATTGCTTGTTGTTCTCCTGACTTCCCGCACGCTAGCTGGTTTTTGCATGCATGGGAGCGCCACAAACCAGAGGAGCAGTGTCCTGGCACGCATGCATGCACTGGACTCCGGGTCTTCTGGCTTCCTGCATTCGCATGTGCAGCAGCCAGCTGGTTTTCACACATGCATGGACACCAGAAATTGGAAAACCAGCTGGTCGGTGCACATGCGCCAAAAACCGGAAGCACAGCTTCCCGGTGTGTGCATGCGTGCCGGTTATCTCTCCTTCCGGTTTCTGGCGCTCTTGACGTGCCAGCACTCTGATAGGCAATGCAATGCACTGGCTCTTTTCTAGCAACCTATGAAGTTGTCTTGTTTAACCAAATTGTACTTAATAAACCACATCAGCTGGGTTCACACAACTTTTAAGGCTTTACGTCACGGCTTTATTTTCCATCTTGGTTTTAAGTTCTACTACTATTCCCTAAGATACAAACAAGAAAAACACGTCATTGTTTTAGTTTGAGGCAGCCACCAGTTAGGTAATGTAGCCATACCTGTTTTTGATCTCCAAAGCTATGCTTCTTCACCTGAAAGCAGCTATTGGAACAGAAGGTCAGCAGCCCCCATGCCCTCACCTGTTCAACTTGTTTGTCTGGCTAGGTTCCTGTCACCTGGGCCCTATTTTTGGCTGGGCCTGGGATGGTTCTCTCACAGAAACTGTGGCCTCTGTGCTCATCCTTCACGATGCAGAGGACTCTTTCCCCAGGCCTCACTTAAAGCACAAGGCAAGAGGTGGCTTAACCGAGTAGCTCTGCTTCGTGTGTGTGTGTGTGTTTGTGTGTGTGTGTGTGACATTTGCTAATTTGAAAATAGTGACAGTTAGTACAAGAAGTAACGCCGAGGAACAGCTGCAACCCAGCCACCGTCATATAAAAGGAAACCGAGTCCAGCCTAGAATTGCAGCCTGAGAAAGCTCCTAAGACCCTCTGCAGTTCTTGTAAAGGGAGGGGAAGCACATTTAGAATAAGAAGATGCAGCTACAGGTGGTTCCTCATCTTATGACCACAATTGGGACCAGAGTTTTGGTCACCAGCACATGGGAATGGAACCAATTTTAAGACCCTTTTCTGCTGTGGTCATTAAGCCAAGGTGGCACAGTGGTTAAATGCAGCACTGAAGGCTACTTCAGCTGACTGCAGTTCTGCAGTTCGGCTGTTCAAATCTCACCGGCTCAGGGTTGACTCAGCCTTCCATCCTTCCGAGGTGGGTAAAATGAGGACCCGGATTGTTGTTGGGAGCAATATGCTGACTCTGTAAACCGCTTAGAGAGGGCTGAAAGCCCTATGAAGCGGTATATAAGTCTAACTGCTATTGCTAAATCACTACCACTGTTAAGTGGACACGGTCATTAAGTGAATCTGGTGGTGCAACAGTTATAATACTCTGAGGATCGGTCATGTCATTTCCCCCCCAAGCCATCATAAATCTGAACTGTTGTTAAACAAGTAATCATACATCAAGGATTACCTGTATTAGTTTTATAGTAAAACTATTTTATACTAGGGATGCGGTGGCTCAGTGGCTAAGACGCTGAGCTTGTCAGTCAGACAGGTCGGTAGTTCGAATCCCTAGCGCTGCGTAACAGTGAGCTCCTGTTACTTGTCCCAGCTTCTGCCAACCTAGCAGTTGGAAAGCATGTAAAAAACATGCAAGTAGAAAAATACTGCCCACGTTTGGTGGGAAGGTAACAGTGTTCCATGCGCCTTTGGCGTTTAGTCATGCCGGCCACATAACCACAGAGACGTCTTCGGACAGCGCTGGCTCTTCGGCTTTGAAACGGATAAGCAGCATCCTCTAGAGTCGGGAACAACTATCACATATGTGCAAGGGGAACCTGTACCTTTTACCTAGAATTGGCACCCATGGCCTTGGTTTCTATTCCAGGCTACCTTGAAGAATAGCCGACATTGATTTTGTACATATGAACGCACTTCCTCTCTGCACCCCTTTATGTTCACGAGAATAGTGGGGAGGGGGCTTGCCAGAGACACTCTCTCGGGTTCCAGTTCTGATCCAAACGTGGGTTCCTCGTATCCCCCCATTGCCTCGGCTGCTGTGCTGCTTCCTCCCGTTTCTCACGTTATTCCTCCTTCGCATTGGAGCATCAGCCCTTCACGGGGTTCGAAGGAAGTCACCCAGAGGAGCCGGTCGTGGCCCTCCTAGTTCAGCGACTGGACGCCTTGCACGAAACCCTGAAACGGGAATTGCAGGAAGGAGCCCCGCTTGAATTCGGGACAAGGGCATCGTGCGAAAGGCGGCCACACCGGGGGAGACAGTTGCCGCGATGCAGTCGGGCAGCCTCGACTTCAACGTCGCTGGGGACCTCCGTCTTGAGTTCCGCAAAGTCGGGAGAGAAACGGCACCGAAGCACCTCGAGGGTCCGGCCGGCCCTGCGAAGGGAGAAAAGCGCCGGGACCCCTTCGAGCACCAGCCCCTTCCCACGAGGCCCGGGGGAAGACACAAGCAGGCTCGGGAGCTCTGGCATCCCCAGCTCAGAGAAGCCGAAGCATCTCCGCTCGGCGCGCCTATCTGCGGCGCACAGGTGGGGCAGCCGCTTCCCGAGCCCGGCCGCGGGAGCGCGCCGCGTCTCCCCGGCCCGCAAGGCGCCCGGCGGAAGGGAGGAGCTGGGGCGCGTCCCCGCGCGGCAAAGATGGCGCGCCCCGCCCGGGAGCGCGCACCCCCCCTCCCACAGCCGGCTCTTCCCCCGTACCAGCCAATGGCGGCGGGCACGTTGGGTAGAAGGGAGGCGCGGCCGGGCGGCCCGAGCCCCGGGCTCCGTCCCCAGAGCGCGCCTGGAGCGGCAGGCGGGGGAAGCGCCCTGCGCGCAGGCGAGGGGGCCGTCATTGCTCGCCAGCCGCCGGCGCCATGGCCACCCTCAGGTAGGTGGGCGCCTCGTGCCTCGCCCTGCCCGCCCGGGCTTTTCAAGGGATCCTCCGCGCCGCCTGAGGGGAGAAGAGCAGAGCGCGGGGATGCTCGGCCGCCCCCGCTGCCCCCCAAACGCCGCCAACTAAGTTGGCGGGACTTGCGCCGGCTCAGCGCTCCGCAGGCGCGTGCGGGGAGAGGCTGAGCTCCCTCGCGGTCAGGGAGGAGGGCAGCCGCCGCATCCCCTGCAAGCCACAGAGCGTGGCTGTTCCGCCTTCTGCCCGGCTCTTTTGGGCAGCCTCCCCGGACGGAGCGGTCTGTGGTGCTTGCTGAACCGGAGGGGGGGGGGGGGGGGCTCTACTGCCTCGCCGGAGCCCCAGCAAGTGGTGATTGGAATCCAAAGCGTGAGCGTTGCCGCTCTGGATACCAAAGCGTGGGGTTGCTTTTAAGCGCAGGAGAGATAGAGGGAATCCGCCCGGAATACCCGGGACGCGGGGTCGGTTTAAGCGGGGAGGTCTGACCCTCTTTTTTCCCCCTCGAATCCACCCCCCCCGTCCCCCTAAAGATTTTTGGAAGCGGTGCACTGCAGCGATAAGTCGCCAAGCCGCTTAGGAACAAGTCTGGCGGATGATTACAGGGTTTTTTCTTCCCCAGCTCGCTTCAAAGGGGAAAAACAGCCCGGATCTTAAAAAACAACAAACCTTGCCCGGATCTGGATCCGAAGGGTTCTTTTTAGCTGTAATGCCGGTTGGCGGGCTCGGCTAGCGGCTTGGATTCTCCCAGCCAACCCGCTAAAGCTCTTCTCTATAAAGTTTCTGGCTCGGTGGAGCTGTTTCCTAGCCGCTCTCTTTAGAGAACCTCTTCCGATCCTGTGGCTTTTTCTGACCCCGCGGGGCAAGAAGCCTTCAGGCAAGGCTCCAGTTGATGGTTCTAAGTCAGTGGTTCCCAACCTTTTTTTTTTTTTTGCCCATGCCCTACCTAAACATCTCGAAAATCCTGATGCCTCCCTGTGACATATAATTCTTACTTTACTCAAAAAGTGAACTCTACTCATGTGTAGGAAGCCTAAAAGGCCATTCACTTGATTTAAGCAAGGTTCAAATGGCCCCCATTAAAAAATCTAATTGTCCCCCTGTGGGGTCTGGGCCCCACATTTGGAACCACTGTTCTAAGTGAATAAACCGTGCCCAAAAAGCAGGGCCGGTGTGATGATGGTCTCAGCAATCTAATTGGAGTTGATGTTGAAACGCTTACCCGGATCAAAGGCAAAAAAAAGTATGATGTGAATTTAGCCCAGTTTCCTTTGGAAAAGTCATTGCCAGGTGTTTTAGGCAAGGATGGGATTGCGCCATGCAGTTCTTGCAACAAAGCTTAGGTAGGAGGGCCTTCTCTGTGGCAGGCAGGACAGTATGGAAGAAGGGGCTCTTTCTGGTCTTGGATCATCAGGAGCCCTTTCAGGCTTTGGTTCTGGCCTTTGCCAAACCCCAAATTGCTCCGGGGATGGAGTAATTGGCTCCATAGTCTGCATGGATCCATAATCTGGCTGGATTAAGAGAGCCACAAGCCATCGGGGGTTTGTAAACAAATTCATTTAAATTGAAGATTCGTGGATTCTATCAAGTCTCTGCAGTCCTTCCGATTTGATTCGGAAAAGCTGGGAACCCAAATCCATCAATACAGAACCTGCCTGAATCTTAATTCATCCACTTCTTATCCAATCTGAAGTTTGAGATAACCTGACGGGGGCACAGAGTTGTAGAAATTGCTGATGGATGGAATATGTTCCCTTTCTTTTAACCAAGTGCAGTTTTGCTGTGACTGCCATAATATTGGATGGCTTTCTGTGTTTAATGTTCTGCTACAATTGCAAAGGACGCAGTGGCTCAGTAACTAAGCTTGTTGATCAAAAAGGTCGACAGTTTAGCGGTTCGAATCCCTAATGCCGCTTATCGGAGTGAGCTCCCATTATTTGTCCCAGGCTTCTGCCAACCTAGCAATTCGAAAGCATGTAAAAAATGCAAGTAGAAAAATAGGAACCACCTTTGCTGGGAAGCTAACAGCATTCCATGTGCCTTCGGCATTTAGTTATGCCGGCCACATGACCACGGAGACGTCTTCAGACAGACTCTTCGACTTTGAAACAGAGATGAGCACTGCCCCCTAGAGTCAGGAATGACTAGCACATTTGTGTGAGGGGAACTTTTACCTTTATCTTACAATTGCAAGTGATTGTAAGACTTTCAACATAGTTCTGAAATAACAGATATTTCAGATATCAGAATAACCAATTATATACCTATGGGTCCAGTACGTTCAGGGTAGTTTAGCTGAAATTCTTTAGACTTTACAACAATTGCTTTACAACAATGTATAAACCCCATTACAAAGGGAGCTTCATGGCTGAACATTGATTTTCCGGTTTTCCAAGTTTATTTAACAGGACTTATATATCACTGGAATCAAAGCCAACTCTGAGTAGCGAACATACCCTATAAATAAAGCTGAAATATGCCAGTAATATTCCTGTCTTCCCAGAAGACTCTTATTAATTAATTTTTGGTAATGAGGCGTCTCAACGTTTTGAGAGCTGATTGCAGGCTTGAATTTTGGCACTAGTCAAGGCCAGAGGGGAAAAATAAAATTACTGGGGGGGGGGGGGAACCTGTGGCATGATGTTTGAAAATGAACTGAGGCTTTCTGTTTGCCAGTCTCGTGGAAAATACCTAACAGTTTCACTGCAGCTCAGCCTACATGAGGCCATCCTCTTGAAATTTCTAGAATGGCCTTCTCTAGAAATCTCAGAGATGCAGTGGCTCAGTGGTTAAGACACTGAGCTTGTCAATCAGAATGTTTGCAGTTCGAATCCCTAGTGCCGCGTAAAGTAGTGAGCTCCTGTTACTTGTCCCAGCTTCTGCCAACCTAGCAGTTCGAAATCACATAAAAAATGCAAGTAGAAAAATAAGAACCAATTTTTGTGGGAAGGTAACAGTGTTCGGTGCGCCTTTGCCGTTTAGTCAAGCCACATGACCACAGAGACATCTTTGTACAGTGCTGGTTTTTCGGTTTTGAAACGGAGATGAGCACCGCCCCCTAGAGTCAGGAACGACTAGCACATATGTGCAAGGAGAACCTTTACCTCTACTTAGAAACCTCATTTTCAGATCTGTTGGTGAACTGAACCTGAAAGAGACAATATGACATGTGAACATTCTTTTATAAACTTTGGACTAGCTTGTGACATGGAGCTTATGAATTGGAAGCATCTTCTTAAAAGAGTTACAGCTGTAGTCATTTATTGTGATACATTTCTGTTAACATCAATAATTTCCATGATCCTCTTCGCTTGTAGTGAGATAAGTCAGCAGACTTGTTCATTATCATCAAATAAACCTCTACGCACCTTTTTTTTCTTTTACAAAAAGGATTTTTAATCTTGGATATTTTTTTAATTTACTTTAAAAAAAATTAAATTCTTAAAAAATGTAAGTTTAATTTTTTTTTTCATTTATGTATTTTAATGTCGGATTAAAAAAACCTGACACAGGGCTCATTTGGCTGATAAAATCTAGGCATTGGTGTCTGAACAGGGCCAGTTCGACTTCCTAAAATGTTTCTAAAACCTTTGGGTTCCATTTCAGACGTCAAAAGTTCTGGGCTCCCTTTGAGAAAAAGATTGTAATCTTTAATTAACTGGAGTCAAAATAAACCATTAAGAATGTTTGCTTCCCCCACCCCAAACACAGACACGCACAGACACTTTTAAACTCTTAATTTTAGTTAGTAGTAATTAATAAGCTAGAGATGAATCATAAAATACATTTTATCCAGAAAGACCAGCATAAAAATTTGATGCATCTGTTTTACCCTGATGGAAATCAGCGATCACTTTCGCCAAGGCTGTAAGTCAGGGCTGTGAGCATGCAATCATGTGCTGGCCATGCCCATGCCTGGTTTAGCGATACGCCACCATGACGACACGAATTTGACACCCTGGTGTAAATGCATTCTATGTAGCAATAACAATCAAGTTCTATTTCTACCAATTAAATAAATATTAGAGATTGAAATGTGGAAAGCACGTGCTCTATCCATGACTCCTTTTAAAAATTCGTAGCCTTTGGGGCATATTGCTATGCTGATAGGTATTTGCTCAACATATCTCAAGGCCAGAAAAAAGCTAGCTTACAGGAATTGATCAACAAAACTTTGATCTAATGTTTGCTTTCCAGCAAATGGAGTGAATTTAAATGGTTCCTCAGGCATCAGATGCCCACAAAGTTGCTTTTTTCCCTTTGGTTTTTTTTAAAAAAATCTGGATTATAGATAAAGCAGCTTGAGCTATCTTCAGGATTTTTCAAGTGTGCCTCTTGATAAAATAACATTTGAGGATTTCAAAAGCCACTTAGCTGCTGTGAACTCTGTGCTGCCTTGTGCTTTTTACACAAACACAGAAAAGCTTAAAAACAAATCTGTGAAAGGTCTTGATTGATCTCTGTTTGGCGCAGTGGTTTAGGTCATTTATTAATCCTGACTTCCTGGGAGAGAGAGAAAGGTTTTGCAGTCTCAACGTGGTTGTATATGTATAGCTTGTATAGGTAGTCCTCACCTTAGAACCACAATTGAGCCGAAATTCCCCCTGCTAAGAGAGACAGATGATCAGTGAGTTTTGTCCCCTTTTATGATCTTTCTTGCCACAATTGTGAAGTGAATCACTGTAGTTTTTAAGTGAATCTGGCTTCCCTTATTGACTTTGCTTGTCAAGAGGGTCACAAGAGGGGAGTCACATGACCGTGGGCAGGACACTGTGCAAGGAAGGAAGGAAGGAAGGAAGGAAGGAAGGAAGGAAGGAAGGAAGGAAGGAAGGACAGAATGCAGTACTGCAGGCTGACTCTGGCCACAGCCAGGAGTTCAATCCTGACTGGCTCAAGGTTGACTCAGCCTTCCATCCATTGGTGGTCAGTCAAATGAGGATCCAGATTGTTGGGGGCAAAAGGCTGACTCTGTAAATCGCTTAGACTCAGAGGGGGCTATAAAGCACTGTGAAGCGGTATATAAATCTAAGTGCTGTTGCTATAAGTGACTTTTCAGTGCCACTTTGAATGGCCACTAAATGAACTATTGTATATTGAGGATTTATAAGTACTCTGAAGTTTGTAAAATGAAGTAACTTGAATAACTTTCTCTTGCAGTGAAAATGTCCTCTTTGGAATGGGAAACCCTCTTCTTGACATCTGTGCTGTGGTGGACAAGGATTTCCTTGACAAGTAAGTCTTGAAACTGTTTATACATCTAAAACACTTTGGCTACAGCAACACTTTTGGTAATACTTTTGTCATTCTGTGCTTCTCCTCTGCTCCATCCTCTTGGGGTAGACCTGGCTTGCTTTATTGCACCCCAGTAATGTATTAACATGTACAATTTTACTTAGATTTCTATTTCTGTGCAATATGCCAGAAATGTTCTCTTGTTGAAGCCATCCAAAATTAGAATGCAGTGGGTGTAGACCAGTGGTCACCTAGTGGTGTTCTGCGAGAAAATTTTGATGGTCTGCAAAAAAATCTTTGCATTTTTTATATTGCACTAAATCAGGGATCCTCAAACTACGGCCCACCAAAATAATTTAATCCTGTTAGCTAACGGGATGGGGTCCTTCAGGCACTTAGCTTGCCTGCCCCTCCCTCCCTGAGAGTCCAGGCGCTTCAGTGAGGAGCGCACGAAACTTCAGCCAGCCTCCTCGAGAGAGACAGAGTTTTCAGGAGACTGATCAAGAGCCTTGGCTGGCTACAAGACAAACATTCATTCTTGACCATATTTGAGATTCCTAGCTGCAATGAACAGCAAAGCTAGGGTTGACCCCAGGTGCTTCTCTCTGCAAACAGGCGCCTGAAGGACACTATCCCGTCACTAATTCACTAATTCTTCAGTTAACTTCATTTAAAATTATGAAGTTAGTGGTTCTTGAGGTCTGAAAGGTGGGTGCCCCTGGTGTAGACCATCACAGACTGTTTGTGAATCTTTATCGGCTGTGAATCAACATAATTCACAGCCGTTTAAATAAAGTTTTTAGTTAGTATAGCCTTTATTGTCATTGTACAAAATAAATACAATGAAATTGGTTTTTGGGACTAAGTATGTGATTTTTACTTAATCAGGAAGCCTAGGTCAGAACATAACCAGAATAAAATGATGTCTTACTGTTGAATTAAAAAAGACTCTGCTGAGATGTGAAGATGACAGAAATGGCATAGGCTTTATATATCAGTATTGCAATCCCGCTTAAACTAGTTTTGAATTATCTACCCTTTTTCATCAGTCTTACTGTTTTACTTTTTTTCAGTAGGATAAAAGTATCTGTATAAGGCCTGATTTGGACAAATATTTGTCCCAGAAAATTCTGGAATATTCCTAGTGTTGTACTCCCAAAATCTGTTGTTGCCGATTGCAGTGCAGTGGTTGTATAATGAGATTCACATATTTCAATAGCCAGTCTTTTGTGGAATCACAATTTATTGAATAAACCACAATTGTGGGAAGTGCAAAAGATGCTTGTGTTCTGAGCTGTAGCTTCCAAATCACAACGACTGATGTTGCACAACATGTTGAAGGACAGATGCACAAGCTACATTGGCTTAGCCTCAGGTGAGAAATGAATGTGGGTCTTGTCTTAAAATCTCTGGGAGGCCTTCAGTCAGCAAAGTGGAAAAAACTGGGCATAGGCATCTAAGAAAAACCACAATTATGCCGTCATGCAAATAAAACAATTTATATGTTTCATTTTTTAATTATATATTTTTTCATATTATTTTTAAGGAATGCAGTGGCTCAGTGGCTAAGATGCTGAGCTTGTCGATCAGAAAGGTCGGCAGTTCAGTGGTTCGAATCCCTAGCGCCGCATAACGGAGTGAGCTCCCGTTACTTGTGCCAGCTTCTGCCAAACTAGCAGTTCAAAAGCACCTAAAAATGCAAGTAGAAAAATAGGAACCACCTTTGGTGGGAAGGTAACAACATTCCGTGCACCTTTGGTGCTTATTCATGCCGGCCACATGACCATGGAGAGACTTCGGACAGCGCTGCTCTTCGGCTTTGAAACGGAGATGAGCACCGCCCCCTAGAGCTGGAAACAGCTAGAACATATGTGCGAGGAGAACCTTTACTATATTATTTTTATAAATAATTCAAGGTGACAAACCTACCTAACACTCCTTATCCCTTCTCTTTTCTCCACAACAATTACTATGAGATGGATTGGACACAGAGAGGGAGATACTGGTCCAAAGTCACTTAGTTGGCTTTTATGCCTAAGGCAG